CCAGGGGTCTCGTCAAAGGCATAACAGGTGTAGTGTTTATGCCCTTTGAAAGCGACATTAATAGCCCATTGAGAGCCCATATACTGCATGTCAGGTGTAGTCACGATATTCCGGATTCATCGGAAATGAAGGAATTTGTTTTTAGGAAATTCCCGGCATTTCTTATATTATTTTTACGCTTAAGAATATTGTCTTATTTTTCAATAAAATGGGTGAATATATTATTAGATCTAATAATACGCTATATATTGGATAAAATTGATTGATGAGAGAGAGAGAGAGAGAGAGAGAGAGAGAGAGAGATTATGATCAAAATGAGCCATAAATATAAAACATTTATAAAATATATATTGTATAATAGTATTTATGAATGTAAAAATCATGTTTATAATGAGCGATAATTACAATTCTCATATGGTAACTTTAGTAATAAAACTATTATTATTTTATTGTTATGTTTATATAATTTTATTTTATTAAGTGTTAATTAAACCAAAAATTAAAATAAGGATAACAAAGATAAAATGTATAATGTATTTCTGATCAAATGTCATCTCCAATGGTTTTCACTGATTACTATGATTAACAAACAATTTTATGTAACTTTCAGTAAGAATAGTTTATAAATTACATTTAAATATTAAAACTGTTTGTATTAACACATTAAAAATATTATAAATTTATAAAATGAATGAGTTATTAGAAAAGTTTAAAGTTTGTGATAAAATCTCAACAAATATAAGAAAAAATATTTCAATATTACATGTTTTCAATGATTGGAATAATAAAAGTAATGTATTGTTTGTGACAAACGATGATCTGGTCTACGGTTATGGCAGTAATAGCAATGGATGTCTGGGTTTGGGACACAACAGTCCTATACTATCACCGCAAACAATACCACAACTCTGTCATCAAAACATTCAATACTTTCTTAATGGATATGATTTTGTGTTAGCAGTAAATCATATGAATTGTATATACGGCTGGGGCCGTAATCAATGGGCACAATTAGCCCGCGATATAAAAACTGAGCAAGGTTGCTTAAAACCAGAAATTATAACGTTTTTCAACGACAAAAATATTGTGCAAATAAGTTGTGGCGGTTGTCATACACTGGCCCTCACAAGTGATGGTCGGGTGTATGCCTGGGGTGGCAACGGTTGGGCACAAATTGGTTGCGGTTATAATAGTGATAGTATTTGTACACCAATTGAAATACAATTCACTGATAATGCAATTCATTATATAATTGAATCCATTTATTGCTGTAATTCTTCTTCATTTGCCATCACATCGGATGGACTGGTCTTCAGTTGGGGTTATAATAGTAGCTATAGATTGGGACACAATATAACCGGCGATAAAGTATTAAAACCTCGATTGATATCAACGATAACTGACGTGAAAGCAATCAGTTGTAGTATTTATGGCATATATTTTTGGGCGACAAATGGTTTATACTTTTGCGGCGAATATTATGAAAATCAAATCAAAATGTTTGCACAAAATCCGAAACAAATACTATCTAAACAAAAGTCACAAAATATACGACAAATAAATTCACGGCTTTATATGACAGTCAATGAATTCGTATGTATTTTAATTAGTGATAAGATATATAAAATATCAAATGAGCACAAAATTATTGAAACAAATTATTGTAATTTTATTGACTTTTACGCCAATGAATACCAAATAACGTATAATACAAATGAATGCGAAACTAATAATAATAATAATTATAATAATACGTCAAATGATGGCAATTATAACAACCTATTCATTGAGATGTCAGCCATAGGTTCGGGTGGTTTTGGGACAGTATTTAAAGTAAAGCATAGATTGGATGATAAGATATATGCCGTTAAAAGAGTACAATTTGAGAGTAAATATCGTAAAAATTTTACTTTTGTTAATTAATTTAAATTATAATAAATTTATTTAAAAAAATTACAAAATATTTATATAGACTTTAGTGAAGAAAACAAACTCCGAGTTCTGAAAGAAGTGAAAAGTTTAGCAAAATTGGACTCAGATTTTGTGGTCAAATATTACAATTCATGGCTTGAATGCAATTATCTCTATATTCAGATGCAATTCTGTCCGCAAAGTCTTCGTTCTCTTCTCAAAGACAAACCAATTGTCTTCCAAAGACAACCCGAAGAACAGATGGAAGTCTTTGAATATTTCATTTCATGCGAAATATTCAAAGAACTCTTAGAGTGTGTCCAATATCTTCACGAATTGGATCCACCGGTTATTCATAGGGATCTAAAACCGGATAACATTCTCATTGATCCCAATATTAGTGGCAATCGTATCGTAAAACTGTGTGACTTTGGTTTGGCAACCGATCACAACACCGATAGACACACCGCCAGCCGTTACGAGCACTCAGTTGTGGGCACTTTGAAGTATATGTCACCCGAAGTCCATTTGGGTAAACAATATAATCACAAATCAGACATTTATAGCCTCTATGTTATCGGCGAAGAGTTGTTTGATATCGATCTTCAGGCGTAAGTGTTTTAAATAAATTGTTTATTAAATCTTATATTGTCCATTTGGGTAAACAATATAATCACAAATCAGACATTTATAGCCTCTATGTTATCGGCGAAGAGTTGTTTGATATCGATCTTCAGGCGTAAGTGTTTTAAATAAATTGTTTATTAAATCTTATATAATGTAAAAATACATAAAATCTATGGGTTTATAGTTCGCATACATTTGAGACCAAGGAATCGGTGCTCAAGACATCAATACAATGCATATATCGGACACTTCTAGCAATGATGTCAACACCCTTTTGGCGACAAAGACCTGAGTGTCGGCAAGTGTTGGCCGAATATAACGAGTGGTCTATTGATAAGACAATTGTTACGAATCATAAAGAATTCAATTCAGTGTTAAATACACTTAAATTTAATGACAATTCAGTTTTTTATGAAATTTTATTTTGTAAAACAAATAACTAATCACTCGATCCTATAGTTTGTAATTAATGTTTTTAACACACTTTGTATAACATGGTACTTTATGTTTGAATGTTTTATTAAACCAATTATTTAAATTGTTTTAATTACAATTTATAATGTAAACCCTTTATTAAATTTTCTGTACAAATTAGTCAATCGATTCATTGCTAAGTTGTATTTTAATTCAAATCACAACAAAACTATAATTAAATTAAACAAATATTTAGTGTAAAGATAATTTGTTAACTAAATAATTATTTAATGGTTAATATGTTTTATACAGAATGCATAAAAAGAAAACAATAATTATTTTGTAATTAATTATTACAGAATTATTTAATTCAAATAATATTAGCTAATATTGGTTATATAATGGCTATAAATTTTCAAAACTTGACACTATTGTTGTCACAATGAGTTTGTGTTTTATGTTATCATTTTTCCGGAGACTGTTTTGTTAACATATCTTAAAAATTCTTTCATTCAATCTTTTCTGGTATTGAATGTGAGAATATATTGAGAGAGAAAGAGAGAGACCGAGTTATAACATATAAGTTTATAATAATACGTTTAACGATAAACCTAATAATAAATTCAGTGAAACGCCAATAATAGGTAATTATAAACTCCCAGAAACACTGTATTTATAATAATGCTTTTCCTGTTCAGTGAAAACTATTTTATTTATTAGTCTGTATTATATTTGCCAACAATTATATGGAGAGAGAGAGAGAGAAAAAAGTGAACTAAAGTTCCAGTCGAGCGGCTGTTGTCAGGAAGCGTTCCCATAGACAGAGTGTTCGCCACAAACCCATTACATAGTGAATGGTAGAGAGAGAGAGAGAGAGAGAGAGAGAGAGAGATGGCTATTGCATAACAACAAGTGATAGTCTCACATATAATATATACAAACAGTATGAGAAGAGGGAGCACAGGTAACCGCCTCTCACTGTTCCCAATCGACACGAGCACTAAAACGGAGGAAAACTTAAAGTCTTTTCATATTTTGGAGGACAAGAGAGTAAAAAAGAGAGAAACAGACGGTTCTCTCGAAACACACAGTGAGAGAGAAGTGGTTCAGACAACTGGAGAGTGGAGTTTTGTTGAGCAGTGTTTTTTCATAGTAAAAAACGTTGACAACCCATACATACAGAGTAACAGTGAGACTGTACTACCTGTGCCGCACAGACTTACCTAAACACACACCTGGTCTCAGCTCCAGCCCTACCAATGCCTCCATTCACTATGTAATGGGTTTGTGGCGAACACTCTGTCTATGGGAACGCTTCCTGACAACAGCCGCTCGACTGGAACTTTAGTTCACTTTTTTCTCTCTTCTATCGCCCGACCAGTAGTTGTAACTCAACGGTGAGACACAAAAGTTATATTTATGAAAATTGTTATGAAATAAGTATTTATTTTCCTCGAAAATATGTATTTTGTGCCCAAACGGTGAATAGTTTGTAACTTCAAAGTTTTTATACACAAGTTTTTGTTATTTGATGTAAAAAAGCATAATATTTGTCACAAAACTTAATATTAAAATTGTTTTTCAAAAAATAATTTTAATATCCGAGAAGTTTACTAAACAAACGGCTGTATATTTTGTGTGTGTATTTTCCGATACCATTCACTGTAACGAATCGGTTATAACACAGAGTGTGTACTGAATATATTGAATGAACAAATATATTGGCAATTGTTTTCTATGTATGTTTGTGTGCCTTCGCATCGCTATCCATACATAAGTTTCACCATATTATGTGACTTTTCTTTCGGTGAGTTTTTAAAACTTTGTATATAATATGATTTTGTGTCAGAAATGTTTCCTTAACACACATTTCCTATTCATTACAATTGTGTTTAATGTCAAGTGAATCGTATTGTTTCCCTTGTTTTTACCATAATGGATTGAATCTCTGGTTAATGTCATTTATTTTGTCCTTATAATACTGTTTTGATTATATAATACAAACTCAAGAATTGCATTCAAAAGATGAGATAACAGGCAATAATTGGATTGAATAATAACTAATTGTATTTTTATTGTTTTATCCGTTTATTGCATCGCTTTTTAGAGTATAATATAATAGTTTTATTATTTTCCACACAAAGTATACTATTTTAAAGCAAAACAAAGCAAAAAACTATTTGCATTTGATTTCAGAAACTCGTCAAGTGATCCGCAAAAACCAGGATTTCTAATGAAATAATAAAAAATATTAATAACAATAATAAAAATAAAATAAGTGTTAATTTCTTACTTAAAACACACCCATCCGTACGCGTAAAATACCGGGAAAACAAACAAATTATTACAATTATTATCATTTCATTAGTATTTCATAACAATATTGACAACAAATTGATAAGTGAGACAAAAACTAAGAGATAAATAAAGATATTTAAAAGTTTATAAAACTTTTATATTTGTAAAAATGCAATGATCTTTGAAAATATCTAAACGTTTGTTTTGATGGGTCCGTGAATATTGCATAACATGTATACCAACAACAGTTGTCCGCATATTATTTAACACTCGGTTTATGATTATTATTACTATTATTATTATTATAGTGTATATAAAGTGTATTAAAGGTTAAGAACCATCTGATAAGTACATTGAACTAACTCTGTATAGTGTACTACAGGTATATACAGTGTGTTGTCTGTTGTATACCGTATAACACGGGGTAACACAACAGACACAACACCAAAGCATTGCATAACACAACTGTGTTTTTATGAAAACCGCTTTTTATGAATGTTTTCAATTCACTGATGGTATTAAATGTAATGAAAAAGTTTATTATGATTAGTGTTGGTTAATGTGCTTCATATAATTTCATTATTAAATACTCGACTATAAGTTTATTGTTCATTATATCCGTTCACCGGAACCGCAAAAATCTCTCCCAGGTTTACAGGTTTGCCTTTATATTAATTATGTATTAATCTATTATTCAAATAACTCGTAAATATTTGACTTTTCATTTACTAATTAGAGTGAGAGAGAGAGAGAGAGAGAGAGAGAGAGAGAGAGAGAGAGAG